TGAGGAATCCCACAGCTGGCCGACATCGATCTCAGTGTCTTTATTCCAACCTCCATTTACATCTTTTATTTTGTCTTTGTACATGAAAGAAACGGAGTTGGGACGGGGTGGTCCTCTCCTTTCAACGTGGTGTGCTAGCGGATGGGAGAGGCTATCGGTTGATTTGCCTCGGCGTTAACGGCCGCTGTGCCAAACGGCTTCCTCGTGTGTGCCACATGATCCGAGCCGGTGTGCAGGCACTCCCACACCGATGAAACAAGAACGCTAAAACACAGCAGAGATCTTGGTAGAAATGGCCCCGTCTCACATGTCTGAGTTTTACTGCTCGGGCTCTTGTATATTTATTTGTCAGGTGTCTCGACACCACAGCGACAAGGTCGACCATTTGGAGTTGGTTGAAGGACAGATTCACTCCGTCCTCCGCGGATGTGGAAAGACGCCATTTTCCAAAAATAACCCTCCTGAGGGCGCCAGCTCACATTGTGTGCAGATGTTGATTGTCCGAGATGTTTTCCGTAGGGATGTTTGATTTTGATTTCGGTCCAACCGGCTTTGATTGCACAAGAACTCGGAGTTAGTACTCCGACATGTACTGTTTTTTGTTTTAGAAACAAGGGCCACATTTCTCATAAATCCTGGAGCTTCCACTATTTCTCCCTCCTCCCTGTTTTCCTCTGTAGTTATTTTACACAGGACAAGGACGGCTAAGAATAACTAATAACAGACCATACGCCCTCATATGCTGTAGGGTATAGCCATAAAGTTGACAGTATACTGTTTTGGGGTCAGGTGTTGGAATACTTACTGGGAATATTACCTTTTGAGTAGCAAATATGGCTTTAAGTCAAACAAAAGGCTTTGGTCTTGCTTCAGAAAATGGTTTCATTATGGTGAAATAAAAAAATAATGAATTACAGTTAAACACAAATGGCATTTCAGGCTTTTGAACAATGGACAGTGGTGTTGCGTTTATGGAGAAAACACCCTCCTTCTTTGTTTCGATGTCAGTTGAATACAGATGTAGCTCCTCCGTGAAGTGTCGGATACAATGATGCACCAGGTAGATAAGGCGTGAAGCCGATACTGATAGAAGCTGGCAAACCTGTCGGAAATGTTTTAGTTAGTTGATGCACCTTCTTCTAGTGCCTGAGACTGAATCAGGCAAAAATGTGTTCGTTTTGAATGGCTAATAAAGTCATCTGTGAAGAAAGTAGCGCCACACAAGCACCAAAGACATCAATCTTCTTCTGGCCAGAGGTGACGTTTCTTTACGGAATAACTCGTGGTTGAGTGTTATCGTATCGAGCATATTTTAATGTCTTTGCTTTTTCCACAACTGGCCTGCCTGTTCCCATTTTATCTTTTTCAGCCTTCTATTTTTTTTCTGCCTTTTCAGCTTTTTTGCCATCTTGATTAGTCTTGACAGAGGGAAAAACGTAGTTTGATTAGTGTCTCCGTATAAGTGCTCCCTGCTGATCAAATTAAAATTCTGCCGTCTATCTGTCACCCCGATCTCTACGTGTGGTTCTCTGCATTCAGGCCCTCAAATAGAGACGTCGAGGGGGGGAACACAAGCTGTGCAGACATTTTGTTTCATTTTTTTCAGACTAACTTATAAAATCTGCAATGCAAAAATGTGTTTTTTTTTAAAACTCTGGTTGTGCGATATTTGGTTCACAACCTTCCTCTTGTGTCCTTTGTGTCACTGCACAGGGTTCTTTCACTGAGGATTCAACTGTGACACGTTGCAAGAGGGAAATCCCCCGTTGGAGCCCTGGATGTTTAAGTGGCGATAAGACCGCGGCGGAACCACACTGAAGGTCCAATGGGCGCACATGTGGTGCTGCTTCTGACTGCGGTTTGGCTGCCACGCCGTACTTTCTGGCTATCAGCATTTTATTTTCATTCGCTTGAGGTAATTTTGCACAAATGCTTCTGGGTTGTTCGTGCAAAAATGTTTTTTTTTCTATTGCAAAACATCAAGTCTGCCCAGTGCAGACTTTTTACTTGACTCTGGCACTAATCTGAATCATTTCAAATGTTTTAACAGTTTTATCTCTGTGAGCACAATGAGTGCCTTTACTGTTAGATAACCAAGAAAGAAGCGGAGACACCTGTGAGTCACTGGTCCGGACCCAACGGCGCCTCTGAAACAGAAAGAAGATAAGCTTTTACTCTTCGGTTAATTTAGAGATTAAACACATTATGTGTTTATAAGTGAACTTTATAAGTCAACTAGTTGTTTTCATATTTCTCTCAACTAAAGAACGTGAATAAGCATATTTTAAATTGAATACATTTACACTGTCGTTGTGTACACATTTGTGTTACTTTTACGTGACATAAGTATTTCCATTTTATGCAACTTCTGCTTCTACTCTACTACATCTGGGAGATTAATATTTATTTTTGACTGCACAGAATTTAACATCAGAGACCAGCCGGACAAATAATGCAATGACATCTCTGTTTATTGTATTATAGATGCTCTATTTCATTTGCACACATTGTTATTTAGTTATTTTCTTTTACATTTCATAGCGTATTTCTGTATCTTGTATTAACTCTAAGAAATTCACATTTACACAATGCATTTTACATTAGTAGGTAAGTCGACATTCAGCTTTTTTCGGGACCATCCGCATCACGTTTGTAACGATATCACAGTAAACCTCCCGATAAGGTTTCATCGTGATGCCATGATGACGATGAAACGTACTGCGCATGCAAAACCTCTGCACAGTAGAGCTATTGGGTAACGGCATATGTGAGTTTTTGAGCAGAAGTCTCAGGTGACATGTGTATGTTTTCTGTAATGCTACATGACCCTATTAGTTTCAGTACGTATAGCAAGTAGACACACAGCATGCCTTCATTGGCCACCTATGTGTATGAGTCCCTTAATATCGGTGCCAGGTTTATACAGTTTGCTTGAGTCTCCCAAGGTCACCTGACTTACAAAAAACCTTCATCAGAAACACACAAACTCATAGAATAAGTGAAAAAAAAGAGATATAATCAAACTCTTGAACTTAAAGACACCTGACGCTTGTATACAGGCACTTGAGCTGCGGCACACTCTTTGAGTGCATTCATGTTACTTCTGTTAAGTGCTACAAAATAAGATATCCGTTAGAAAAAATACTGACTCCGAAAAGTGTAATGCTGTTCATAATATTAACCAACAGGAAAACGTAAAGACAAATGTACAACAACAGAGCGGGGGGCCAACATAAACCTTTTCCTTGAACGTTTCTTGCATATTTCTGTTTATATTCGGCCTGTGCATCCTTTCATTGGGTTTCGTCACCCCACGAGTTGCAGGAGGCAGAATAAGCCGGTTTTGGGTGGGCGAGCGGGCTGCTGCAGGGTCATCCGGAGCCGGGAGAGACGGAGTCCAGGAGTTTCTTTTCTTTGAATCAGCACTCGGGTCATTTAAACTGTAGCAGGGTTTGCTTTTAATGTGCGCTGCCACAGCGAGGGCGCAGGATGAATCACACCAGCTCTCTGAGCAGAGGAGTGAATCATAGTCGCTCTGTGTGTGTCTGCGTGTGTGTGTGTGTGGTCACATGTCCATCACGCCGGATGGAATGACTCACTTTCTCTGCCTTTGTGACATTTCTTATCTCTCTATAGCTCAGTAGACTTTACGAGCTCTGCTGATGACTAAACGCGTCTTGTTTCTTGTGAGTCGCATGAGGAGTCTGCCACCTTGTCTGATACCTGGTCCTCCATGTGACAAACCTGTCAAACGTGCTGTTTTTATAATTAACAACATAGTGAGTTTTGAAAATAACTATGCAAGCAGTCTCCCTGTTTCCGGTCTTTCCCGCTGAGCTGAGCCGCTTCCGTCAGTAGCTTCATATTTACTGTATGAGTTATGAGAATGTTATTATCCTTCTGATCAAAGGCCAAAAAAAAAGACACAACTAGCTGCTTGATATCTGCACCTGCTTACCGCCCTGCTCCATCACACAGAAACCCCCCTACTAGGTCTGTGGATCTTCTTCTTCTTCTAAGTCGCACCACAACAAGAGGGACCCTGAGAAAAGTGTGTATCCCTGTCGGAATGGATGCAAAAGCAGTGCAGTCGACCTCAATTAGAGTATGGTTCTTTTATATGTGTGCGTGTGTGTGTGTGTGTGTGTGTGTGTGTGTGTGTGACTGCTTTTACCGTCACTGCAAGTAGGAGGAGGAAGGCATCAAAGCGACGATGAAAAGTGCCTCCCTGCCTCGCGGCTAAGTGCTCTTACATCTCCAAAGCGATACAGTAAATGTCAGCGGCCTCTGATGAGGGGTCCGTGACGTCACGCTGAGGGCCACGCTGCCCCCCCGGGCCGCCCGGCCCTGTCCGCAGCGTTAATCTCGATGAGGAGAGTCTGAGCCGAGCTGAAACCCGGAGGGCAATTACTACCTGCCGGCCCTCTAATGCCCCCCCCCCCCCTGTTGACACCAGCGGCGCGGCCGAAGGATTAGCCGCTCGGGGCTGGTTATTGGGCTTCATCGCGCGGAGAAAGCGGCGTGAGTGTGAGTGTGTCCGTGTCAGCGAGCCGAGGCCATGTGAAAGCAGTTCGCCTAAGAGGGGTGTCCCATTTTCCCCACTCGCTGGGTGTAAAGAATAAAAAGACGGGGATTCCTTTTTGCACTTTTTTTTGTGTTTTGTTTGTCAGTACCGAATCCATCGACGCACCTGTTTGACGAGCCGCTCTGTGTCGTCACAGAACGTCACGTTCGCCCCTCCCCCCCCCCATGTCGGCCGTCCACGCTGCGTGGAAGGCAGCCTGCTGAATCAGCCGTGTGTAACTCCGGCCACAAAATGAAAGTCATGCACCACAAACAGGAGACCCACATTGGGCCCGGTTACATTATTAAACTGTAAAATAACAGCGAACTTTAGTTTTCTTACTCACGTCTCCCCCACTACTGATAGAGAAGAGGCAGCGGGTTATCTGAGAGCGGGACGCCGCACAGGGAAACGAAAGAGGAGATGATGGAGAACATTTACCTTTCCAGGCACACATATTTCATGGATAGTGATTATGGAGGTAAGGAGAAATTTAAGGGTTGAGAAACAAAGTTGGCAGTTAGTGAGAACCATCTCATCATTAATGCTGGAATAGTCCGTTAATACGAGATGAACTGGCATATATCTGTGTTTATGTATGTGCATCCACGTTGGTCCAGGTAGTGGCTGACATTGCCGGAGGGCTGGTGTGGGGGGGGGGGTCGTGTCCAGGCACACACAATGATTGACAGAGCTGGACTTGCAGGGATGAAGAGTCACACCGGCCCGAAAAAGTTCAGGGGTTCCGTTCAAGTCCAGCAGAGTATTTGCCTCTGCGGCCACTTCGGATAGGATTCCCTCTCCCCTCCCCGGGGATTTCTCGCTGGTCCTCAGTTCAATTCTCCACTCTCCTCCCCCTGTCTTCTGACACCTCCTGCCTCCTCTTCTTCCTCCTCCTCCTCTTCCTCAGACTTCCGGGGGATGCGTGTCCGGCTGGGGGCCGCCGTCCACCCTCACCACTGTGGAGAGAAAGTCAAAAGAAACATGTCAGGCTCCGGAGGAGTGCAAGCGCTCTGCGTGGCGACATTTGGCGGCAGTTCATTGCTTTTTACTAAACACGCAGACGTAGAGCCAGAGTGGAACGGACATTTAGACATTTAACTTATTCAAAAGAAAATGGCAGCGCATGTCAATGTTTTCATTCCATTTGAGGACTTACTTCACTAGAAGAATAAAGTTGCACCAATCAATTCCTTTCTGGCTGCGTGCTTCATCGTGCGCCGCTGCTTGTTTGCTCGTTACTGCAAAAGCTCGCCCGCCCCGCGGCAACGTTCACAGGTCTTTGCAATGCATCGTATGTGCACGTTATATTCCCATGCACGGACGTTATTCTTACTCAGACAATTGTGTGTGTTCTCTATTCTACCAACACTGTCTCTTGTTTCCCACTGATCAGCTCCTCCTTCGTAAATGAAATCCTTTGATTAAGGGCACCCTGAACAGCTTCTGCAATGCTGCCCGCAATGATGACAACCTCCTATCTGTCTGCACGGCGACGCTCTGAATGCGCTTTAGTCAAACGTTTTCCCTGCAGGGGGCCCTGTGGTGTCACTCACTCATGTGAACCTGCCAAACCAAAGTCATTAGCTGGATGAGGATGGGAGGCAAATGCTCTCATTTCCCACAAACCTCTTAACCTGCTGCCAATTGGGGGACGCCATGGAAACGCCTCGGGAATGCAGAGGCGTTCCTGAGAGGACCTCTGAGTCCGGTGGGTGTTTTCTCGTCCTCATCAATGCATCGTTGTGCCAGAGGAGTGCAGTGCAGTTTATTTCAACTCTTTAAGAGAGTTGGGGGATTCTTTTGTGGATTCATAGCGTCATTCCCCCTCCTCCTGCTGTTTCCTTTGCTTTTTCCCTTCCTCAACAACTCATCTTTTTTTTTCTTTTTCCCACACGTCGAGATGTAAAATTCACACGGGGTACCACACGCTGCCTCTGCCACTGTTCACATCCGAATAGAGTCGGCCCACGGCACCACGCTCTCCTCCCGTTCGAACGGACACTTCTCAGGCATCAGCGGGGACGGACAGCAGAGGGGCGCTCAGCCATGTGCGACGCAACACGCACGGTGTTCAGGCCCTCACACAGGGGGTGAACACCTGCTCTTGGTGCGCGCAGCGCACCGCATCTCGGCGGCGCGCTGATGAATGATGTCACGTGGGCGGACCCATGTACTTCAGCTCGGACTTCATTTCCAGGAATTCAATAGCAAAGCTGCCGTGCTTTCTTCAAACCCAGCTTCCATTCTGTTCTTGAAAATGGTGAACTCGCAGCCCAAGCTTTGTCCCCCTGACTTCTTTCCCTTTCTTCATTTCTAATCAGCACATTCAGGCGATCCTGATTGGATTGAATTTGTGGTGACTTTTTTGGAAGAAATCCCAGGAAAAACTTTTTTATAAATTTGAAAGATAATATCAATTGATTGTTGGCGGAACTGATTTGTTGCTAAACTTATTTTATCACATTTACCCGTTACCTACAATAGCTTCTTTCTCTTGTTGTCAATTTTCAACTTTTTGAGACGTATTTCGGAGGCTAATGTTTGGTTTAAAGGGCCCTTGAAACTCAATTAGCTTCAACAGTCGCGCAATCCCAAATAATCATTGTATTTCTTTGCCAGTTAGTTTTTGTGTGAAGCAAATATTTACATGTTGTACCCCCCAAATGCCTACATTTACTTATTTACTATTTATTTGTGTTCTCCTGCTGTCAAATATAATGGATAGCTTTACTAATATGATGTTCCTTTGCTGTTATTCACTGTGTATGTAGTCGTATTATGCATGCAATGTTCTAAGATTGAAGAAAAAACAAATATTTGATCTGACGTGGCAGATCGTGGGGCATCGACATGATTCACATCTCTACCTTTGGCTGATTCACATTAACATAAGCAATAAGCGCTACGTAAATGTACATGATAACCATTTGTTCATTTTGTCATTACCTTCTTGTGGCTTTCAGATCAGCACAAATTAACAATTGTTCAGTTCTCAGTCAGTTAAAAGCTCAGTCATACATATGTATGTTTACATATTTGATGTGAGCGAAGACTTGGAGCCTGAATAGAGTTTAAATATGAAACGCGTTCAATATGCAGGACGCGGGGTGGAAGCAGGCAGGAAGGAGTGCAGTGCAGATAGACGGTTCTTTTTAGTGGAGATGAGGCAGAGCCACATCCACAGCAGTGAGTCTTGCAGGGAATCCCCTCCTGGATGTTGTCAGTCAAAACTGGGGAGATTTTTATTGCTCTATTTCTCGTTTTAAAGGCTTATTTGACTTGTTTTGACTGCATATGTTGCCATTACCGTAGCCGGTGGTAAAGTATGGTTCAGTGGAAACAGGAAATCCTCAACGATATACTGGATTTATTGTGCATATTCTCAGCCTCTCGCTTATTTTACCAGAACCAGTTGGTTGTGAAAGAACCAACGTCTTCTCAACGTCAACCGTCTTTTTAATGGCCCCCGCAACCGCAGCCGGTGCTAATGCCAATTATCACGTCCTAAACGTGGGCGCTGGATAGGCTGGATAGGGGGGGGTGATCCCGTCCAGTAACACCTGCTAATGAGCCAATCAGTTCAGGAGGCGGCAGGGTTAACGGGGCAGTCGTCTTCTCACTGAGACGATAGCGATTTGTTCCTCCAAAGGAATTTCCTTCTTTTCTTAGACGTGCAGCGGGGTTTCTAGTCGTTTGAATGGAGGAACGGAGAGGGACTTAAACAAAACACAAAAAACTAAATAAGCTTTTCACAAGCCTCATTAGAACGTAATGGGTATGCCAAAAAGGACGCAGTCATGTGGACTGTTCAAGGGAGGATTTATGAGGTGTTTGGCCTTTTTTACCACATTATTATCCCAGCATAACTATATTTAAGCTTTAATATAATTCACAGTAAGACCAGGAAGGAAACGAAAGAGATGCTTAGAGAGAAAGTCTGAGCGAGAAGCACAGACGACTGAATGAATAACAAGATCATGACTGAACTGGGGGCTTCTTCTGCAAGAGCCTCTCAGGTTTATGTGTATAGATCGAGTGAGCCGCCTTCATCTCTTTAACGTGAGGCTTCTTTGAGTTATGAAGGAAGGTAGAACGATACGATACATCCAACTCCTGCCGCACTTTATTCTTTTATGAGCTGTTAAAGTTTATGCTCTTTTTATTTGCGCAGACTCATGCAGACATGATCCACCAAACCCCTTTGTGTGTGCGTGTTATTGTTATTGTGTTGTAGGTGTGATTCCTTCTTTTTTTATATCAGTAAATCCCATGCAAAGACCAAACAACAAAAATTATCAGAATAACGCATATTCAGTTTGTAGCCAAAACGTGATGTTTCCAACCTTGAATGGATGCTTTCAATACAAATATATGATTAATTACAGGGGATTTGAATAGTGTGCGAAACACATACTGACTAAAAGGCAATTCATCTTTTTTTTTTTTAAGTACTGCGCTGAAAGAAGTAAATTAGGATCGAAGTGAATTGCTTTAAAATAGATCAGTAAAGTGCATTATAATTTTTATCCCAGCGGGCCAGACGTCGTTTACCAAATTAATCTAACAAAAGCTTTTAGATTTTGTCTGGCTTGCTCAACTACATCTCAAAGAGGTTCCCACAGACACACATCCAAAATACCTCATGTGTCAAGAAGCAACAAATACAGATAATGAGGACTAAAAATATGCTTTCCTTACAGTTCTGTACACAAATGTAGAAGCCATGTCATATGGATCTGTCAGATCTGAATTCTTCAGGCTCATATTGAAAGTACATCTCCACATCTGGCATTAGGAGGCAAACAGCCAAACTAATGTTCAGTCCCCTCCTCGCATTCATGTAACTGCCAGCTCCCAACATCCTACTCTCGACATTCCTTCTGTTTAATATGTCATGCATGATGGATTTGCCCGCTCTTGGCTGCTAGGTGTGAATCCTGCTCCGAGGTAATCTACGCTGTGTTAGATCTCATCCCAGAAATGTGTTGTCTTAGGGAAAAAGGCTTTGCACGCTGCCGGGGAACCGCTACAAGTAGAATCTCAGCAGTGCATCTTGATATAATCAATATAATGACAGCTAGTATATCATTGTGTGAAGAAGGAATGTTCTCAGACTTGGGTGAGTGTCGTTTTTTAAAGATTTTTCTGGTGAATAATACATTTTGGTCTGGAAACTGGAATGCCACGTATCAAAATGATCCTCCAGAAGTTCTATATTTAACAGATACTGCATGCAAATGCGTTGACACATTGAGCATATTGAGCAAGACTTCCACATAAAATACAAATATTTAAGTGGAATTCTTTGCCGAGTTTTTCCTTATCTTTTGTAGCAAGTTTGTAATATAGATGAAATCGCCCCACCTGCATTTGACACAATACCATTGTTCCTCTGCCCCAATGAATGCTAGGCATGAAATATTCACACACGTCACACGCTTACCAATCTGCTCCTGTGTGCGTGAGTGTGAGGGCTGAGCCTGCACGTCGGCCTGCGCCTGCTGATGCTGCTCCTGCAGACTCTGACTGTCCACCGAGATGCCGCTGTCGCTGTGCAGCTTCTCCCCCTCCGGTGTCACCATCTGGTTGTTTGTAGCCGCGCGGTTGTTAGCCGCCTGTTTGTTCTGCTTGCAGCTGTTCCACCTGTGGAAGAGCGGCGCGGGGGGGGAGACGATTGAAATAATGCAGACGTGTAGTCTTAGTCTGTGGTCAAGCGATTGCTGATGAGTGAAAACAGCTTTTTAAATGAAGGAAAATGCTTTCCTTTTACTCATCATCAGTTGTCCGATAGAAAGGAGGAACCTGCATTAGTCTACTTCTGTCTTTAATCAAGAAACCCACCATTTCAGAGACTTCTGTGCACTATATTTTTATTTGTTCGCTTTTGAATATGAATTACTTGATTACCAATGATTCAAATAGTCTCCTGGTATCGAGTGATACGGGGCAGTTCACACTCCCCGAGGGCAAACTCATAAAACATTGTGCGTTAATAAAATTCATATAAATTACAGTCTGTTTTCCGCTTCACGGCAATTCCACGAGGATTACGAGCCAGATGTGTGCGTGACTCTGCTGATAAACCCCGGTCGGCACTGTGCGAGCAATCAATGCCCGTAATGACTCGTTTCAGACGCCTTTCAGGCCGAGCTGCGTCTGTGTGCCCGCATGCATGTGTGCTAGTTTGTGTGTGCGTCACCTCTGTTATGCATTGAGTGTTCTGACCTTCTTGTCTTTATGTCCTTTTACAAAAAAAAAAAAACTCATTGTGGTACATTCGAGTGCTTCTCCAGAAGTGGGTCAAAAGCACTTTGACCGTCACAGGCCTGAATATTTCATAACAGGCACCTTACAGGCATCTCTCTGCCACGGGCAACATCTGTCCCCATCCAACAGCCCCCACAGCACCACGAACACCCTCTTTGTCCTGTGGTTTTATTGCGGATGAGGCGCAAAAAGCCAATCGTCTTTAACCACGAAGCAGCAGCTGTTTTTTTTTCTCTACTGACTGACCTCTTAAAAACGATGTAGGCCACGAAGCCCACCACCACGGCGGCCAGGATGGAGCAGTAGATGGGGATGAGGTTCTCGTTGAACCCGTGGCCGAGGAAGCGCGGAGACCCGGCGCTGGAAGTGGTGGTCTCTCCTGGCAACGGGCCGTCTGAGCCATCCGGCAGGAAAGAATTGGTGAAGGAGGGTGGAGACGGGTCCATGTCCGAGGTGGGTGTGAAATATGTTGGGAGGAGAGGATCTGTGTGGGAGAGAAGGGAGCATCTGTGAGAAAACAAACCGGATACGACTGAGAGAGAAAGTAAACTTACATCTGCAGACGTGGTGGAAGAACAAATGTTTTTGTTTTTTTTAAGTAAAAGCAGCAATACCACATCGGAAATAGACTATAAATACTCTCTTCCAAGTAAAGTAAAGCTGTTAGTGATAAACAGAGTTGTGGGTGAGTTGTGAGCGCAGAGAGGGAAAGAATTTTCCACCATGAAGGGGGGCAAATATCTGTCACCCACCAGTCTACCCCACAACAGGCCTGGGCCAGGTCCCTTCTCACCACATCCCCATCTCGGCACACTGCATGACATCAAGGCCATATGGATCGCTGTAGAACAAAGTCCGGGGCTTCAGAGAGGTCATCGCTTTAAAGCGTAGCCTATGCCGAGGCCAGAGAGGCAGAAAGGCTCCGTGTTTCTGGGTGTGTCTGGTTTCTATCACAGCGAAGCCTGGGAGAGAGGAGTCATCTTCCTCAGTCGTTGTGAGCTCCATTAATGATTCAGTGTTATTCCCCCCGTGTGGCGGCCAACCAGTGCCCACTCTGATGGGAATGACTCTTGAAAAACAGAGAGTTCAAATGCTCTCAAATCTCTCCTGCAGGACCCGTCGTATTGCACTTCTGCTGTGGGGTGCGCTCACTAATCCTGCAGTGATTCTGTCGGATTGCAGAAAGTGTAGATCGGTCCCTCCCTCGGGGCATATTACAGCGGGGGCCGAGGAGAGGGCCCGTCCAGCAAGAACCAAAAGTCCTCTGAGCGCAGCAGCTCGGTTGGGGATGGAGGATGTGCAGCCTGGTTCACATCTGAGCCTGTAATTCCCGGCAGAACCTCAGGCTGTTCCTCATTAGCTTCATACTAGCGCTCACAGGATTAACCCCCTGGAGACCCCCACGAGGCTTCCTCCAAGGCCAAAGACCAGGACGCTCCATGCATATGTGCAGAGGGTCGTGCTTCTTTACCACTTCTATTTGTAGGGGTTTGTAAGCATGATGAATACACCCAATATACTTACTATAGTGAATAAGATTTGTGTAATCTAACCACATTTTACTTGTTTTTTTAACCCCCGAATATTTTTTAAACAAAGGAATGGTTCTAAGGGTCTGTTCTCGTAAATGTATTTTCTCCTTGATTTCCAATGGCATTTACTATAAGCTAAAGCTTCAGAGACTACAGGGCTTCCAGAGTAATACACCTCCTAATGTTCTGCCTCCAACTCAATTCTGCAGAGGAGTTTTTTTGTGTTCTACTTACAAGATTGAAGGATTACATTTTAATAAACCAACAGCAGTGTTTCTCTATGGAAACTGATGTCAGTGCAGAGTGACGGGCACGTGTCGTTGTTCTTTTCCCCAAGACACGCTAAACAATTGTTAATGTAATTTGTGTTGCTCTTTACCATGAACACTTAAATCTCTGATGGATTTGTCAGAACTCGGCTTAATAATACCAAAAAAAGTCAAATTAACAGCTGTTACCAAATTGTGTACGGGATGGAAATTAACCTACTCTTTTTTTTCTGCATCACTGAAAGACCATCTTCAAACTAACTTTACAAATTTATGTCTGCTCCTTCAAATCAAGAATTTTTGTGAATAAAAATGGATGAAGCGCCCGGTTGTGCGGTCAGACGACAGGAAGAAGAAAGTCGGTGGACCATCACGGACAAACGCTGTCTCCACATATATTCTCTTTTCACTGACATAGCACATAGTCAAGTTTCTGCACATTGATTTGTTGCATAATTTACACACTTACTCGCTTTAAAAGTCCGACGGGACCTTGACGGGGAAAATCATGTGGACGTACTCTAAAAACCCCTGCTGGGAGTTAAGAGTTAAGACGGCACGTCGGCCTCTTCGCGGTGATGACGAGGCATTCCTGCCTCCCGGAGGGGGGATCGGTATACCGAAATGGTGGAAAGCATCTTTCGAGGGCCGAAGAAAACACAGCACATGTGCGTGCCATACTTAGAAACAGGAATAATGCTGAGGCCTATTTAAAGCAGGTGCTATTGATTCGCATCGTCTAATAGGAGGAGTGGAGCACTGGTGTCTGCATTACACGCATTTCTCGACCTTTCCTGGGATGTAGTCAGGTTTCCTCAGCTCCGCCATGCATCATCCGGCTAATGCAGGGCTGGCTAATGGCATTAGCAATGCAACACGACCTTGCAAATAGAATGAATAGTGAATGGGGAGGTGTGAAAGTTTGTGAACGTGTGCATGCACGGTGCATTCATCCTGCTGCCACTGCCTGCCTCGCTGCAGCAACTGTTTTCTTCGTGCAGATATATTTATGCATCAGTCGCACCTGAGGCCTCGCTGTAGATTGTCTTTCTCATTCAGAGCCGAGACGACAGCAGCCCCCCCCCCCGCCCCTCCCTGGGAGTCTGCTGCTTCACATAAGACCAGCTCAACACAGAGCTACAGCTTAAGTACAGTGTACAACATCTTTATCCCAACTCCCCCTCCTTCCCTGCGTCTCCCTGCGGGCTGCTGTGGAGGAGACGCCGGGCTGCATACTTCAGCTGCAGCAGAATGGGGGCTTTAACAATTACATTTGGGCTTGAAAACCTGCATGAAACAAAATAAAAAACTAGCCCGGGACTTTACGAGCATGGGGCTGTGCGGGCGCAGGGGGAGGGGGGGGTGTGTGTGTTTATTAGCGGGGTGTGGAGCGAGAGGGGGTTTAATTGTTATGAGCCACTGAGGTCTTTATGGTGGAGTCAACCCCAGCGTCCTGTGCAGAGGTTGGTGCCTCGGCTTCTGCCGGTTAAGGGCGGAGATGAGCAACCATTAGGCGCAGCACACATGACGCACAATGACCTCTTTATCAGCTGCCAAACACTCCGTCAACACCCCCACCCCCCCACCCCCACCCAGCTCAGTCCTCCGTCTCAATCTTCCTCTGTGTTAGTCGCCGGACGCGCACACATCCATCACACACACACACACACACACACACACACTCGCTACGGATGATTCAAGTGAGCGCTCTATCTTCTATTAGGGAGGGTTAATAGGGAGAGCGGAGCGGAGGGCAGACAGAGAGGCAGAGTGTTGGGAGAGAGTGACGAGGGGGTGCAGATGAACAGAGGAGCTGCTGTAAAGTGCTCTGATTAGCCGGAGTAATTATACTGCAGCGGTGAAGGCGCTGAATGCACACTTCCACCACTTGGCCAGCCCGGCCACTCGAGGGCTACTGTGGGAAGAGGGAGAGGGTGGGAGGAGGGGTGAGCGGGGGGGTGGGGGTAATAAAGAGCAGACAAATGTCTTCCTTTTATCCGGTTTTATTTGGTATATTTTTTCTTCTCTTCTTCTCGAGGACAAACACTCAAAACGACGACTCAACACTCAATACTTGAATGCCAATCTTCCCCGAACAGCGCCACTCGAGAAAAACTCTGCCGAGGCCTAACGGACACTTTCGATAGGAGACGCAGGAGGTGTTTTCAATTTCAGATGAAAGAGATTCACACATGTGCGCCGCGCGGAGTTTAATGAAAAGTGCACGTGTTAACGCGTGCTTGGCGCAGGGAAGAGCGTGCATGCGCGTCAAGTCAGCTGCATCGATTTTGCGCGCTCATAAAAAGTATTGTGTGTCTGAAGCTGGAGAGGCCTTGTGCTTGTGTGTGCGTGCCCTGTGGAGGGTGTGCGCCCATAGAGGTCATTCAGCGAAACCTGAGCACGAGCAGGAAGAAATCCCAGGACTCGGATCGACCGCTCAGCACAGAATACCAGCGCAGCACATATGCTGCGGCTCCCGCTGTCTGTTTTCACCTCCCTTTCTTTCTCTCGCCCTCCCTCCTTCTGTGATTGTATCAAGTAATTGACACTTGGTGACAGCTTGATATGAACTGGGGATTTTGGGATTTGAAAATACTCTACAATCATATCTTTTTACTGAATGCAGGAGAAAGAGATGGAGACAGCAGAGTTTTAGACTAGATTTTTAAATTATTTAAAATCATCATCCTGATCGAATTGTGCACCAGATTATGAATTTGTGCAAATGAGTTTTAAAAAAGCAATGTATTTTGACACGTTGTAACGTAAGCTAGCACTTATCAATCCGTCCATATCAATCCATTCTGTGACTTTTAGCGAGACAGGAGTTGGGCACATTATAAAAAATGTACGCACAATGATGAGAATCCTCGCGAGCGGCTTCCTGTTTGCTGCAGAGAACATGTCTGCATCTATCATAGACCACCGTGGAGGACCTGGAAACACCACCACCCCCACCGCATGTGACTGTCACCCACAGGCCCACTGGTGCAATGTGACAGGGCTCCTCTTTCACACCGACTTCCTGCAAGGTCACTTATCGTGCCATCTACGGCCGCGACCGCCACTGCCGCTACTCATCGCTATCGCTTAGGACGAGGCGGGTCAAAGGTGAGACCGGCTGCATGGGTGGGCGCTAAACGGGCAGCAAAAAGGCTTTATTGTGACCTAATGTCCATCGGATATGTCTGGGAGGCAGTCCGATGTTTTGCATGTTTTAAGGAGCATAGGGTGCAGTTTGTTTTGATGGCTGTCAGTCCTGTTTCTCTGCAGCCTCGTTGGTCTTTTGGAGCGGACATGTCTTCCTCCACCTTTCTCGAGGAGCAAACTACATAAATACATTACTGCCTTGGTTATATGTCTGTGTAATCTCTGCAAGACAGGGGAAATAGGCATTCCTGGCATCTCACCATGGGAAATCAGGTTCCCACACTTGATTCCAGCACTGCTACACAGCTTCCAAATTTAAATTTGTTGGGTGATTCAGGAAGTTGGAATACTTTTCTCATGTCCTCGCTATTGTAAAAAGACAAACTAACAATGGGGAACTTTGCAGCCAGTTAATATGTGCTTATATACTTCAGTCTGGAGCAAAAGGCGGAGGGAGGAACAGCTTGACATTCCGTCATTCATCTTTGGAAAAAACAGAAAAAAAAACATCGTCTCTACGTTTTTATCCACTTTGGCTTTTTTCTCAGCCTGTTGAATGAATTTGAAAATATCCTTGGAAACCTGACTTTATGATTTAAGATGCAGAGCCAAGCTAAACAGAAGCCACAGCTGGTGTTTAAATAACTGTGAAAATGGATAACTAAATACGGTGGTAACTCGGCCTCATCTATGCAACCTGCTCTTATCTTTCCCCCGTCCATTTCTCTGCTGCCTGTCAGTGCTTCTACAATCTATTCAAGTTTGGTACAAACACATCCTCTGTACTACAACAAGATGTTGACAGATTGTCGAGTTTCATCAACTTTGTGGCCCCAGATACCTGTTGTCGTCTCTGTGAATTATAAACCAGCCTTAAAAAGAGAAATATTGCAGCTCAAGTATGAATCTCAACATATTGAGAAGTTCAATTAAAGATTCTAATGCACAAAGAAGATCAACAAATGCCCTGCATTAGCAGCGGCTCCTGCTTTTGTAAAAGCATTCAATGGTCAAAGATTGCATAAAAAACACACTTGGGAGGGAAAGTGCTTTTCCCCGTATGAAACCACAAACTTCCACTGAAGTTTGTTTTTTGTTTGAGTGCTATTTTCCCTTTAAACTGCTCCGTTATCTGATAATGGGTTTAAGAACGATGGCATATTTCTATCAGGAAAATCAAACATTTTAACCTCCCGGATTTGAGCTTGTTGGCCCCCCGATGAGGCCAATTTCACGCCCCATCGGACATGAGAGAACTTACAGCTCCCTTGGTTACAAGCTGCCCGGACCGGAGACCAGCAACTCGACTCCGCCTGCGTGTTGCCTTTGGCTATGTGGGAGAGCAGCTCGTTCATAGTGTCCGTGTTGACATACCGGTAGTCTTTGACCTTTTAATGCTGGAGCTTTCAACTTGAAAACATCGACCAGCACCGACGCCTGACCTGGCCTGTTCCTACCGACACACACGGGAGCCCGTGGAGGCCGGTCTGGCCGTGATTGGGACGTATATGACGGCTCCTATAAGCGGCTTTGAGGTTCCCGACAGCCAGTGCGCTTTATGCTTCTGTCACGGCTAAACGTTGCGTAGCTGTTGGATTAAACTCTGCTGCCTTTGGCTCTGAACTCTGATGCGGACCAAAAAGACACAGCAGTCCTTTAGTCCAGTGATTGTCAACTGGTGGGTGGGTCGCGGACCCGTTTTTAATGGGTCGCGGGCCTTTGCCTCATTAAGCTTGTTTATGTGTTGGCATACGTATTCTGTCTCCATACTATCTCAGGTTCAAACTGCACCATATTTTCATTAAATAAATTTGAGAAGTTGAGAATGTTCCTCGATTTGGGTCGCGGCTTGTCATTAAGGGGTGATGGTGGATCCCGGAGCCAGACCAGTTGAGAACCATTGCTTTAGTCTATAGTCCCTTATTAACAGATGAAAGGTGACACTTAGTGACCCCATTTATTTACCCAGTTGCAGTCTATTTTTACACAAATCCGCAAAAAATATTGGAAATTCCAAAGCCCAAGTTGACGCCTTGCAAACAGGTGTTTTGAGACTTGGTTTTCAGATGGCAGATAAGGAGCTTCGAAACGTTCATCACCGCTCATCGCCAAAACGGTCCGGGCGACACTTCTTGTTTACCCCCTCTGGTTTGTGAACTAAGTCAAGGCAACAATACCCGCCACCGATGACCACGGATGTGCGCGCGGCAGACTCACTGTGACAGACGGAGTCGCCCATCGGCGTGCACTCAGCCAGCTCTATCTCGCTGCCCTCGTCGCAGATGGTGCAGGGCAGGCAGGGGTCGAGGGAGCTCTCCCGGTCGGAGTAGGTGTCGTCCAGGCACTCCTCGCACACCGTGTCGTGGCCGTGTTCGCAGTGGGCGTACACGCCCTGGCCCAGCGGGCACACCGTGCACGGCTCGCACTTGCCCGACATGGCGTCGAAGAAGTAGTTGTAGTTGCAGACGCAGATGGCGTCGTTGGAGTCGGTGCACGGCGTCTCCATCCGCATCAGGCCCGTGCACTCGGTGCAGGGCCGGCACTGCTCCGAGGCGCTGTAGTTCTCCGAGAAGGTCTCGCCTGCGGAGGGGAGGACAGTGCGGAAGGAGACGAGACGGAGGAGCCGAGAGCAAAGGAAAGGGTGGAGGTTAGAAGGTGGGAGATAGAGAGAGCGAGGAGGAAATATGAGGAGATAAACAGAGGGATAAACAGTGAGCCTAATGACATTAATCGTGTTTACTGCACATTCATTAGGAGGGAGGACACATTGATCCGCCGGGCTCGGAGCGATTTGTGCTCCGGGACAAGAAAGGTGCTCTTGTCTGAGAGCCGAGTCAGAAGCCCGCTGTGCTCATTACGATATTGATCCCAGTGTGTTTGTGCTGCGCCGAGTAAACGGCTTTAATCTCAGCCACGCACAGAGCGAAGGGCGGGTGCACGCTCGCACTGATGCCGATGATAAAGACTTGTGCGTAGTGTACCCCGGCGGCCACGTAATTACTCCGGTGTATGTACAGGCTTAAGGGAGCGTTAACTAACAAGCCATTCTGCCAAACGTGGGGTATTTCTGGGACGCCTGGAACCTTTTCGTCATTTCGTTTGGCCTACAGCTTATTTACATTGTCAAACTGATCACAAACACATTACCATTAAATCATGTATCCTTATTGGATTAACATTGGTACTGTGCAGCCATGCTAGCAGCTCAGTTAACGATGCATAAATGCTAATGTTAAAATACTGCTTTAGTTTACTTAAACATAACATTAGCCGATCATCATAAAACACAAAGTCCCAGCGGAGGCGTATTGAGTATTGCTTTGGTTGTGGTTGGTGTCAAACATCCCGTCACATGGTTTGCTCTTTTCAGACAGACAAACGACAAACGTCTCAAAATTTACTTTTTCTGTTCAGATGTAAAAAAAAAAAGAAAAAGGAAAAATTGTCCCTTTTTTTGAATCCTTGTGTTCAAAAGACGCCTATTTCAAAGAACAACTGCGGGGCATTATACTGATTGTTGTAAGAAAAAGAGATGGCCGACCAAAGCTGAGGGTGGAGAACAGTGTCAAACAGAACGAAGTAAAAGCGGACTAATTGCTTGCTGCTTTTCACTTAAACATTCTGCTCTCCAGGAAGGTTCAGGAGAGTTGGTGACCTCGAATCAGTTTGTTCTTCCACCACCAAGTAATTAATTAATATTACACGTGTACATAGAATTATTTTTCTATATAATTGGATACCTGCTGAATTATTTATATAGTAAGAGGAAGGGAGGCAGAAGAGGAACTGTGTGGGAAATAAACCTACGGCTCACATTATCATGGAGGCAGCTCCTCTGTTCTCCGAATCCCTTTCCATTGTGACGCAATGTGCAGCGCTTTAATCCCACAGAAAACATCACAGGGAAATGCAAGTGCAGCGGGGAAGATTAGCATCCACCTCTCCTGCACCACAGTTTCACAACATGGTACGAAGGGACAGGGAATGCGTGTCGAAACTGATTTGTAAACTGTTCGCCGACGCCCAGTTTCGCTCTCGATTTCACACGTGGAAGCGCAGCAGATCAGCAAGTTATCACTCGTTTAAAATGTCCTTCGCGCCAGCTACACTTTTTTTTGCGCAGCCCCGATCGGCACGCGCATACGGCTGAGTGTGTTTTTCCATGGGAAGTGCTTAGTGGGTGTCGCGTTGAGCTACATGCATATTGTCGGTGTGAAAGGCCCTGCGGCAACGTCCCAGCACTTGCCTCTGCGCTGTAAGCGGCTCTGGCGAGCAAACGCTGGCACAGACGGAAGCTCTAAACACCTTGTGAACAGCAGCGCGGCTTTGAAGGCCTTTCTGCAGGCCCACTGAGCGGAGCAGACGGAGGTAATGACACAGAGACGGGCACAGGGGGGGGTTGGAGGCCGCTCGATTCGCTCGAGTGAATCCGGTGGCCGTTTGGCGCTCGGTGTTGAAAACGGGCCGGTGAGCGGGACCAGAGTGTTGATGAGCGGCCGGGTCGGGGTGAGGGGGGGGGATTGACCTGTCAGGGACGTGAGTGAGTTCTTCAACTCAAGACACACCGAACCCACACACGCCGCCCGTCTCTCCTCTGCCCGCCGTCCCGCCTTGCTCTCATTGCTGTCCGGAGGCAGAAGTGAATAGAGGAGAGTGACGGAGACGAATAACAGACCTGAGAGGTAAACGATTATTTGAATTAGTGAGCTCGAAGCTGTTGTTTTTTCTTTGCAGCGGAGCTCAACCGGCAAAGCTTTCCTCATTCATTTCAATTATCCCACAGCGTGCAGGCTTCCTGAAGCTAATTTTAACTCGCATGCATGAGCCCCTTCCCGGTCCTTGTGTGTCTAAACACGTTTAAATGCGACCACATGCACCGAGAGGAGTGTGCGTTTTGTCTGCTTTGTGTACTTGTAATTTATTTGTCTGCGCTTTCATCTGGGGGCCATGAGAAGAAAGTAAAAGGCCACTGAGGATCCTGTGGTGTCTTCTTTTAATAAGATATGATCCTTTTTCTAATTGTCCCCAATTGAGCAATGGCCAGTTCATGTCAGCAACAACAAAAAAAAAGGCCGTAGGGTTATGTTGGGAGGATGCACTTAAAATGTGCCACTCGTGAAGACCCCCCCCTGCGCGCTGATGCCTTGGGTCCCATTAGTGTCATCAATAATGTAGCTGTGGACGGCCTCGAAGCTGCCCAATGAGCGCCACAATCAGCACTCAAGGGTGTAAGCTTTTAGCCAGGACGGCCATTTCTGCCGTCCCGCAGCGGAGCCCCCGTTTCCCTCTGCTGAGCGCGGGGCGGCTTTTATTCGCCTTTTTAAACGTGAAACATTTTTGCGCGCGATTATCGGCGGGCTTCATCGGGCCCACTTAGCTCTCCCTGCAGGTTTGAAAACGGGTGCTGTGGGACATCTCCATTTTCCTCTCCTTCTTCTTCCCCGTTGATCGGACGTTGGAAGCGATTCTTGACACTGTGTCTCAGCAAGAGTGATTCCACCCTCCTCCTTCCTCCTCCAAAATCCCCAGTGACCCCCCCCACCGTCCACTCGGGCCGGCCGTTTGTCGCCTGGTGGGGCTCAGCCTTTTTCTCTGTCAGATCTGCAGTCAGTTCGCAGAACGGTTCACTAAGTAAGGCAGGTCTGGTTGTCTCGTCTCCCAAGACAGCAGCGAAAAAGTGGAAGAGACTTATGAATATTTCAGCGCCCTCTGACGCGGGCGTTCGAGGGGGGGGCCGGGGTTACCTTGGCAGGAAGTGGTAAATAACGATTCACCCATATTTACCATGAAACAGGAAATGGATGTGTTGCATTCTCTAAATTATTAATATCTGCACAAATGTATTTATGGCTTTTGTTTTCTAAATACGGTCAGTGTCAGACTCACTGTAGCGCGTGTGCTCCTTCGGGACCTTAAGTACCTTAACATTTTATCTCCTGAAACAAAAACAATATTGAAAAAGAGAAAATGCATTTGCACTGGATACGGAGTGCCCCCCCCCCTCCCCCCCCTCCCCCCAGGGTATTTGAGCTTAATAGCTGAGTGTTTGTCGGCGGTGAATACCACTCCTGTACTGCAGAGCGAGATAATTCTCCTCTGTTAGAGGCACAATCGGCTTTTTAATATGGTTTAATTAGCCAGATCAAATGAGCAAAGATGCATCCATGTGACAGTGCGCATGTTGAATGAGGCTATCGTGCCCCTCGGTGCTCGGCTCTCTAATACCATTCTATCCGTTAATACAGACGATGAGTCATAGCACAGGGAGGAGAGGGGGGATTGCTGAGCACAGCATGGAGAAAATAGGAGGCACGACTGGAGTTGGTGGGATTCGCTGTTGTGGGCGGAGGGACGAGTGAGAAAAAGGAAACTCACTCCGAGTCGTGAAAATGGAGCCGTGGTTCCTCATTCAGGGATCGGTGAAGACAAATTCCTCATGACGTCAAAGCAAAAATTGAAGTCCAGACGCTGGTTACTGTGGGTGAGTGGAGACCACGATGGTCCTCCAGCATTGTGCCCGTAGCAGGGACTACTGTGTGTGAATGCTAGTTCCTGATGGGCAGGTGGCACTGTGCGTGGTAGCGCATGTCATCCGTGGGTGAAGGATGACATGATGTGTTAAAGCGCTTTGGGAAGTGCTGCACAGCCCATTTACCATTTGTGAAGCCGCAGCGAGCCTCAAGTACAGACTCAAGTCTACCTCACTCGGACCGACTTCCATCTCCGGTCCATCAGATGCAACGCTTGCCGATGACGATGAGTCGTCCTGCACACTCTCCATCTTCTGGTGTTGATGGATTTTTAACCCTGACGTGTTAAAACCACAACCAGCCTGCTGAGTTTGTTTCTTTTAGTTTTTGCACAAAAAGCCACTTTTTTACCAATTTCACAGCACTGCCTCTTTTACATCGAGGCGGTTAGGGGAATCGACTACTTTCACCCTTCAGCATGGTCGCGCTCTAGATGTAGAGAATTGACTTCTTGCCCCTGAACCCATCGCCGCGTCTCTCGGGTTCCCCGAGGCGAAAGAATAGACACTTCAAAGAGGTGATATAAAACGAGATTAGCATCGGAAGTTAAGATAATCCAGAGATCACTTTCCTCCGAACAAAGAGCGTTACTGCCAGCTCCAATTTAATCACAAAAACGACATCCAGTTCCCGTTATTGTATCTGGGTGTTAAAAGGCTGTTTACATGCACCGTTTGACAGTGTTTACGTGTGGCTTTTGTGTGAGGGGATTAATGTGATCAATCAATGCCGGACTGGAAGGTGCACTCTAAACGTCTAAACAAGACGAATTTGGGGGGGGTTCTGCTTTGCGTCAGTGTCTCGTCGCCTGAGCTGTGCGGCGGCGGCGAGCGAAAGGGCAAGCAGAGTTGTGGGGAATGTGGCGCAGAGAGACGGACGAAACGGAGACACTTCCGTCTCCGGCATCCCTCTGTGGGATGTTGCGCGATGGCGCCTCTCCAACTTGTGCAGAACGAGTGCTAATGTCTCACAGGCCGAGCTGAGCCGCGACATTTGGGGCCAGTTACCAGCATCAAACATAGGAATTCCTGTGTTATTCCTTTAGGATGCTCGACGGGGGCTAGAAGACACTTACTTACACACATACAAATGAGCAAATTGGACAAAAAGGGGTTTGTTTTGGCTTGAGGTTTCTTTTTCTTTGAAGTTCGGGCCCAGCGCCGCCATCAAAGACGAGGAAGAGAAAGTTATGTGTATAAATGAAAATGATGTAATGCAGAAACTTTGCATCAATCGGGAGTTTGTGATGCGGGTGATGGCGTGCCGTTTACATATGTATTTTGATTGCTTCCAGATTGGATGATTGCACATATTTCAGGAAAGGGATGTTTTTAGCATCAGTTACTTCTCCAATCTATTTAAAGGTTAGTTTGCTCCAATCGATCACATAGAAAACATAAACCGATGGCGAGCAGATGCATTTGAGCCGCATTGGTCGGCAAAGTTGTTGACAGTGAGCCTTTGGTACATTGTTTTTAGAGATACTGTTGAGTTTTTACGTATTTTTTATAGCAAAAACTTCAGAGGAGGAGATCTCAAGACACAGACAACAACAATGTTTGTGTGCTGTGTTTCTAATAAAAACTGTTTATAACTTCATGTTGTATCAGATGGAAGAGAGTTGCCAAAGTAAATCAACTCAGTTCTAAGATTTTACTGAATTAAGTTAAGCCATTGTTTTGGAAGAGTATCTGTTTTTCTGAACCATTTGTCTAAAGGGAAATTTGTGGATTGTGAATTTCTTCATTTAAATGTCATTTAAATAGCATCCAATTGTAACTAATAGCTTTATTAATAGTTAACGTGTAAGATGCTATGATTTTATTATAAATTGATTAATCGCCATTAATAAAACCAACTTTCCTGTTGCAGGTTTGACATGCGTCTGCTGTTTTCTACAATTAGGTAAACAGCCTGCGATCATAATTCATAATGAGATTAACGAGTTGGTTCCACTCACTGTCCAGACACTGTGAGCAGACGGTCTGCGTGGCGCCACACTTCTTCACCACTCCCTCTCCGGGCGGACACTCCTCGCAGCATTCTCCGTTGCCGGCGTACAGGCCGGACTCACAGGGGACCTGCACCGCCCGCTCCGTCTTGGACGCCAACGCCAACACCACCTGGCACACGGGGGGAGGGGGGACAGCAGAGTGGAGTTTGGTCAGAGCGGCACTTTCGTCAGCACTGCAGGGCCGCTGTGACTTAAACAAATGACAGCAAAACAAATTGGTGAAAATCACTGCCAGGTGTCGGGATTCATCATGAATCACGTCGTCTCCACCTGTATCGGACACACTTTGAACAAGTCTAAACTGGCCTAATTGCACCCCCCCCCACCCACTCGAAGGCACATCAGCTCTAATAGTAAACGTATGACATGCTCAAGGAAGAGGCAGATATCATTAAATCCCGTGTGCCACATTATACACATGCCCGTCCTAATTACTGTCGAAAAGTGAGAGGAGCCGTGAACGTCCCCCCCTGCTTCCGATCCGCATTGGGAAAAGACAGCACCACATGGTTTGGTTACTTAGGAGGCCATTGCATAACCCATAACTCTAACCAGAGAAGTCTTTATCCCATATTTAAATGGTAGACTTTGTAGGGAAGTTTTGTATTTTCTTTTTTTTACGGGAATAGGAGATGAATCCCCAGATTTCTGTTCACGTACCCACCAATAGTAGTACAACTCTTTCAAAATATGAATACAATAGTATTCAATAGGGGGCGACGTGGCGCAGGGGTAGAGAGGATAATTGCTCCCGAGGCAAAAATGTAAAATGTCATGGGTTAAAATGTAATGTAAGTTGCTTTGGATAAAAGTGTCTGCTAAATGACCTGTAATGTAATAGCGTGTGTCTTAAAGCTGTTGAAAGGTAAGAGGAAATTATACGTCATTACAGTTCAAATTAAATGATAGTACTACAAATCTTTGACGAAGCAGTGCTTTCTGGACTTTTAAATACACAGACATGACGTGTGTTACTCGTGGAGTAATTCAAACTGGGTTCAAAAAGATTCTGCCATTGACTACAGCACATTCTTTAAGTAGTAATGTCCCACGGGGGATTGTGTTGTGGGCGGGACTTCCCCTCTCATCACAGATGTGCAGATGTTTTCACACCTGTACTGTAACACACATCTGTGGTTTGTTTCCCTTCCCTCCTGAACCATAACTCCATACATGAGTTAGTTTGGATTTCTTCATCCTGTCTCTGCTCTCTCTGCTGGCAAAGGAACTGAGGCTTGTTCCACTCAGCGGTTACGCAACAATGTTAAATAAAAGTATTAAAGAGTTTATGCCCGGACGTTTTGAACCGAAGAAAGTCATTATGCTGAAACACTTTCATGCAGCGGTGGTGGTTCTTAAAAGCTCATTTCCACTTAATAAACATTTGCTGAGATAACCATCTTCTCTCGCTTTCTCTCTCACTCTGACTCTCCCTCGCTCGTCCCTCCCCTCCGTCCTCTCCCCGCTGTCCCTGCTTTCATTCAGAAACAGATGTACAGAGCAGCCGGCATGCTCTCTCCCTCTCTCTCTCACTCTCTCAGCCCCGTAGGTCATCCCACCGTTTGCTTCTCCTCCGTCCTTTACAACATGAAACAAATCTCATCCCTTTTTGAATGTATCCTCAGGACGAAGCCACGTTTTCCTCTGCAGACAGGAACTCTGGACGCAGTCCCAAAAACCTCAAGAGAGTCCTCCTGTATCTGCAGAGGAAGGATTCATGTCTCTGACTCCCTTTCCTGTCACATCTTCCTGGGATATCGCTCAGCGCAGGAACATGCATCCACACACACACACACACACACACACACACACACACACACACACACACACACACACACACACACACTCAAACAACAATGCAGGGTGACACAGCAGTGAAGTGCCTGGTTTGTATTCTCCCAGATTTCATGGTCAATTTACGGGTTTATTTCTAAATTTAATTCCAGCCGGCCGTCGCCACCCTTTAAACCAGCTGTCATAACAGAGTGTCCCCTCACATCCAGGGCTGTTCACATGATGACTGAGCCGCGCAGCCCAATTAGAGCAGCTGCTGTGGACATACCGGAGAGCCTGGAGGATGTGTCCTCTCTGTGCTCCGCTGTCCTCCCATAATCAACTTTTGTTCACATAATCAGAGGAGCCTCATCTTTTTACGTCAAAATAAGCCAATCAAATAACAGCTCATGCCGGATAGGAATTAATTTACTTTGCAAGCTGCAGCGGCTTTATCTTTTATTCTGAGATCCCAGATTTGGCCTCAAAATTAGAATTAAATTACTCTCATTAACGCTGTTGAGGTCTGGGCCCTGGCGCCTGTCAGCGGACGGATTCTGGTTGGTGCTTCCCATTGTGAAGCACAGATCAGAATTTCCCAGAAACCAATTTCCAAAAGGGCTTTCTAACTGTTTCCTGGAAAACCATGAAGAAGTTTGATTGTTGGTGTTGGGCTGCATTGTGGAGAATATATAATCTGTACATTATAGCAGGTGCATTACTTGTAGCAGCTGCATGTTTAACATGCAGTGAAAAAAAGAAAATTGGTCCTTTAATGGGATTTGTAATAGAAGAAAAACCACAGCAGTGATGCAGTTTAAACCCAGTTCAATATATCAGAGAAATATCTCAACACATGCAGCTCGGAAGTTAAAACTCAAAGGCAGCAGGATTATTAGAATAATCATATACGAATAAATATTAAAGTAGCGTCATAAAAGTCTCCACGGCATGTCCACGCAAGGTGCATAAGGAAGCTCACCTCGTTCCATTGAGTAAAAAAAAAAAGAATCCAGGTAAGAAAAGTAAATATAGACATCGTGAGATTATCAGCGGAACGCGTTGTAGTTGCTGTGCCGACTGGACTACTTACGGAAGCGCACACGATCACCAGCGACCAGGTGGTCGTCATCCTGCGTCGCCTGCTGGAGTCCCGCAGAAACGGATCTGGCGCAAAGAAGGCAGCGCTATGAGGAGCAGGAGGAGGAGAAGAGCCGCACAGCAGGAGTGCTCATCGTATTCCCACTTTTATCAATGCGTCCGCACCATCACTGGACTGGACTCAGAAGAAGCCGTCGGTGCAGCCCGCAGGACCCCCACACAGAAGAAGAACAAGAAGAAGAAGAAGAGAGAAGAGGAGGAGGAGGAGGAGGAGGAGGAGACAGTCCTGCCCGGAGTGCTGCTAGGATGCAAGTGCACTGCGGAGGAGGAGAGAAGAGACGTCTGCCCTCCAGTTTATTACCCCTATACTCCTGCAGTAAGACTATACAACCTGCTCCTCTCTCTCTCTCTCTCTCTCTCTCTCTCTCTCTCTCCCCTCACGTGAGGTTCCTTGCAGCCGGTTGCTGCTGGTGATTAACTGTTACCTGCGCGTGTGTGTGTGTGTGTGTGTGTGTGTGTGTGTGTGTGTGTGTGCGTGTGTGTGTGTGTGTGTGTGTGTGTGTGTGTGTGTGTGTGTGTGTGTGTGTGTGTGTGTGTGTGCCATGCAGCACATGCAGACTGTCCACATACTTTTGACGATATAATGTAACTGTAGTGGATTAGATTATCACGACGTGTGTTACTAAACTTTCTTTTTCCCAATTATGTTAATAAGATAAATTAATTAGAACGAATTAGAAACCCCTTTCCATGTGATTACCTCCAAAACAAGACGACTGCAGGATACCTCAAAGACTGCAGGGGTAACAGGTGTGTCTACTCCTCTATTGATCCGGTTTGGTGAATCAAACTAAATTCTCCCAACTCTCCCATAACTTTTGGTCTCTGGTGTTTTAGCTGATCACTGCGCAACATCGCAGTCATACGCTCCCTTCAGCCAGTTTACAGGGCGCGATGCCGTCATGAACCACAAGAGGGCGACTCAGCGACTTCACAAGGAAGCACGAGACTGAAGTGGCTTCAGATACAAACGGATCTGTGTCCTGGGACTTCACTGTAAATGTGTCTGAGGATGTCAAGTGAGAGTTGGAGAAATAGCATTATGGAAACATTCAAGTCAGATATACTGTAGTCTGAAGTAGGCCTGCTGTTTTATTGCTGCATCACTGATATTATTTATTTATTCATCACTGTCGAGATGATACTGAATATGAAGAGGCCACTCCAAAACCGCTAATGCACTTCCAAGCGTTGAAACTGTGTTTGATGCTCATTGAGGTACTTAGCTTTTACACTCAAAGGAAAACAAGTGTTGGCGGATATTGATCAAGGAGAGAGTGACAATGAATCAACAGCAGTCCCCAAAAAACTGCATCCATCCTTTCCCTCGGCGCCATCTTGTTCAATCCTCCTGAGCCTGCAGCTTCCACCTTCTCCTCACCAATCACCAGCTCGGGGGGGGGGGGGGGAGCGGCTGATGTCCCTGAAGCAGCATGAAGCCACAGGCTGATCTGGTTACACTGTTGTAGATCCAAATGGTCTCCAGTATCGATCTAGGGACACATCAATTCTCCCACTTCCTACATCCTCCTTGGAGATCAGCCCCACGGCACCTCCGACCGAAGCCCCTAAAGCCCCTTCTGATGACTCTGGCTTTCTTTCATGTCGTATCCTCGTGGGCCTTTAAATACAGTTTTTATTGCGCGTCGCCATCGCGGTTCGAGTAAAGCCACTGTTGATGTACAGGTAGTGATGGGCCTTGACTCATCTGTTGAGTAAATGGTAGTAATTAACATTTGTGGTCTCCAACCATGTTGTTGATGCTGTTTGATCCCAGCGACAGTGTAACAGAGATGAACTACATCTCTAGGCTGAAATGTATCCTTCCAACGGCCAGAAATAGAAAGATGTCCTCTGAACGTGGGCTCTATTTGCAGTGTTTCGGATATATGGATCCGTGCTGACGGGGGCCTTGGGTAGGATACGTGTATTTTTCTCTGTGCGTATAATATTTCCAGCCTTATGGAGTGCAAGGTCACTAGTAGAACACAATCTCAATGAAGATGACTTGCCGTCCAGCGGAAGTCGCCACAGTGAGCGACCCAAGAGCAACAAGACAGAAGGTTTACGAGGTTTTGTTTATTGTGCCGAAACGTCTTTCCGAGCCTTCCTCACAGCGAAGGTGTAACTGATCCCTGACGACATATTTGTTCTAGTGTGCCTGAAATAACTGAAATCACTGCATCATGAATTAAACCTCTTGGAACGGCGGAGGCCTATTGTCGCGTTGTACAAACTGCAGGTGCCAGAAGAAATGAAAATCATGGAAGTTTATTATCTTTTATTCTTAGGCTCCTTTTTGCTTCGTAGTGTAGACAGGAAGGTAAAACAGAAGGTGTTCTTCAATATTTGTCGGTATTGAAAATGACCTGTACCCGTGTAAGCCGTAGACCGCGCATAAGAAGTGGACGTAGTCGCTGTGACGTCACTCATTGGTTTGGGGACTGCCGTTATGAAACCCTTATTTAGGCAATTCTGCCACCGCTACATTTACTCTTTTTTTTCAACAGATGAAAGGAAGTGAACGGACCGTATTTGGAGAGAAGAAGAATAACGTAGTGATACTGTAGAAAGCATACTTTGCTTAATGCTTATAGAGAAGTCGCCTCCTTCTGGTCAGTAGCGAGAATGCAGGTTGGCCCTGCAGAACCAGAAGTTGCCCCTTGTTGCTGATAGGACCTAATTGCGGTATTCCTGTTGGTTTAAGATAGATATTCCTTTGGTAAGGCTAACCGTACCATCGGAGTTTCATAGTAGTTACAGTTTAAAAGTGCAACATTTATAACATTTAGATTTTACACATGTTGTATTACTCCCACCAACCATATAGTTCATTGCACAATGCAAATACTACATGGTCGAGTGGAGTGGGACTGAAAAGTTCCTTTTCAATCTGGGTATAGGTCTCCATCAGCTATAGCTTTAGGTTACTATGCAGTGGTGTATCAATATTCATTTAATGTAGGATCTTATCAGCTTGTCATCAAATAAGTGCTTTTTATACATTATTCAAAGACACATGAGTATTACTAAATGAGTATTTAATGACTAAATAATCATTTAGTTCCTAAGTGAGAGAGTTTTCGTCATTTTGTGTGTTATTGTTATTCTGGAAATTAAGCTAAAATCTAGATCTAGAAGAAAAGATCATGTGTACTAGCTGCAGAGTAATCTTTTCAATGGACTTAAATACAGTTTTTCTGATTGTGCTAAAGATTCCTCGGATGATTTTTGGAGATTCTGCTCTGCATTGGATTTGAAATGAAATACAGACTGAGGTTAAAGTAATGACTTTCAGCCATATGGGTCTTTCAAAGTATTCAAATCCACGGGGAATGAACAATGTGGGAAGCAAGCTATACATATTTCCTCTAAATTTGGATTACAGCTCATATAAAGTTTGTCCCACTTAGTGCAAACAGCCCTGAGTTCAAGTTGAAAGTCTGCCACAGAGACTGAAAGTTGAAGATTTATTGCCTTTTTTTCAACCTGGCAATCTCTGGTGATAGAAGGATGGATGAAGATTTGTTTTTTTTTTGGCTATTCATCTGAAGAGAATGAGTGACTTATGGGTGGTTGTTTGCCTACTGAATATAACACCCAGGTCACCGCCACGTTGTGGAAAACGGGCTTGCGATGGAAGGGCAGTGGGTGAAGAATTGAAACTGGTGGAACACATTTCTCCTCTTAAAAGTGCAGTTGTTGCTGGATATAAAACGCAGATGTTGCACTGTTTGGACACAGATAAGTCCAGTCCAGACAAGAAACTTCAGTGCGACCGTGGTGTGATCTTACAACTGCACACGTATTTCTTATCTTGGTGCTTTCGGGGTGACAGATTGGGGCCGATGTAACAGTCAGAGCTGCACGGAGAGGCGTGTACAGTCCAGAGGGTGGATGCCATGTGTTTTTAACAATCTGCCAAGAAAAGGATAGAACAGCACCTGTGGCTGGTTACACATCTAAAAACATGAGTTATGGTTCCCGCTCCAAACTATAGGCGGAGATGCATTCACCCTTCACCAACATTAAAACCACAAAAAGTACTCGCTGAGATCTGGCCGTGAGCCAAAGCTGCAGAGGAATGCACACTTCTCTCCTGGCAGGCAGTCTTTACGCTGTCACATTCATGCCCTGGTTTTGTTATTTTTCTCCTTGGTTAACTTCAACTCTGGAAGATTTCCCACGTCAAGAATGTTCGGCTCAGATGCCAGAGGTTCAAAGAGAAGAATAAAAATGGATATTTAAGCTAATGATCCCATCAGTCATTTAACTGTCCTTGTTATGTGAATTATTACCATAACCAGCAAGCTTTTTCTTCCAGAGAGCACGCACATTTATGTAAAACAGATGAATGAGTGAATCCCAACCAAACCTTTTCACAACCAACATTCCTGGTTCATGTTTTACCCACGGAACAGTTCAAGCTGTGATCAACGGCTTGGATTTGGAATTTCCTGCTGACATTTATTTAGTCTGTCAGTACATTTTAAGTCAGTTTGTGTGGATGGTGGGTGAAGTCACCTAAACAACCAATTATTCATGTTGGGGATATGGAGTAATAACGTCGCCGACCTCTTCACCTTTAAACTTTAAACTACCGCCATCGGTTCTGAATTACAATCTGTCCAATGGTTTGGTTTGTGAACAAATACTTAACTGACATCCCTGTCAGCCGCACCACTCTGTGTTTATGGCTAATTATCCCATGAAAACATTGTTGAACTGAGTTTAAAAGTAAGTGAACGTGGTAAACATTACACCTGTTAAACATCAGCAAGTCAGCGCTATCATCGCAAGCATGTTTGCATGCTGACGTTAGCATTCTGCTCCAAGCCCCACAGGTCCTAACCAGCTCCAGACTCACTGTATCATCTGCATGCATCATGGCCGGAGACACGCACTCAGTAACAACCACCAAGCCCCTCCTGCCCGTGGCATATGTGTTTATTATTAGGACCACGGTGCATTTTCCAGTTTGATGCAGGAAAAATGATGGGCAGGCTTGTTAGTAATCTGTTCAATATATTCATGTGTTTCCTGTTGAATGACAGTTATCCTTCCGAACAGAACAATCATTTGAAAATGCATCATAAATACAGCGTGACTGCACAGTAGTACAAATACTGTGGGAAAGAGGAAATGAGTGTCTGTCCACCATATGGACTTAAATAAGTAAACTAACGATTCATTTTTGGTCGGCTATGAATGTGACTTCCCTCTTCCTAGAAAAGCTACCCAGGCCTTCATGCACCCAATTGTGCACTATTACGAGCTGACGTTTGAATTGCAGGTCCTGCATGAGCAGC